CTAATATATATGCATTTAATGTTATAATTTTCTCTCTAAGCACTGCTTTTGCCCCATCCCACACATTAAGTTATATTTTATTTCTATTTAGTTTATTTTGTAATTCCGTTGAGATTTCTTTGAACTATGGGTTATTTAGAAGTGTGTTCTTAAACTTGCAAATATTTGGGGAGATTTTCCAGCTATCTTTCTGTTACTGATTTCTAGCTTAATTCCACTCTGGTCTGAGAACATACTTTGTATTATTGTTATTCTTTTAAATTTGTTAGGATATATTTTATGGCCCAGAATCTGGTCTATCTTGGTGAAATGTCTCTTGTGAGCTAGAGAAGAATGTGTAGTCTGCTGTTGTCAGATGGATTTTCTACTAATGTTAATTAGATCAAGTTGACTGATGGTGCTCTTCTGGTCATCAATATCTTTACTGATTTTCTGTCTGCTTCATCTATCAGTTACTGACAGAGGGGTGTTGAAATCCCCATATAATCATGGATTTGTGAATTTCTCCTTTCAGTTCCTTGTCTTTGGTTTTCTGAAGTTGGCATATTCCATGCCCAAGTGGTTTTTGTTTTTGTTTTTGAGTAGTTATCCTGCTTAGTGTCCTCTAAACTTCCTGGATTTGTGATTTTATGTCTGTCATTAATTTTGGATTGCATTAGCCATTCTTTCAATATTTCTTTTGCTCCATTCTTTTTCTTCCGGTATTCTAATTACACATATGTTATACGTTTTGCAATTGTCCCTCAGTTCTTTGGGGTTCTAATGTTTTCATTTTTTTCCTCTTTACGTTTCAGGTTAGAAGTTTCTGTTGACTCATCTTTAAGCCACTAATAGTTTCCTTGGTCATGTGAAGTCTATTGATAAACCTATTAGAAGCATAGAAGCATTCTTCACTTCTGTTACAGTGTTTTTATTGATAGTCTTTCCTTTTGATTCATTTCTAGAGTTTCCATCTCTTTGCTTAAATTACCCATCAGTTTTTTCAGGTTGTCTACTTTTTCCATTAGAGCCTATGACACTTATAACCTAGTCATTTTAATTTTTTTAATGTTTATTTAATTTTGAGAGAGGGAGACACAGAGCATGTGTGGGGGAGGGGCAGAGAGAGAGAGAGAGACAGAGAGAGAGGGAGACACACTATGAAATAGGCTCCAGGCTCTGAGCTGTCAGCCTGACATGGAGCTCAAACTCACGAACCATGAGATCATGACCTGAGCTGAAGTTAGATGCTTAACCAACTAAGCCACCCAGGCTCCCCCAACCTAGTTATTTTAAAATTCTGTCTGATAATTCCAGCATCTGTGTTATAATGGAGTCTGGTTCTGATGATGATTGCTTTGTTTCTTCGGGCTGTTTTTTTTTTTTTTTTTTTTTTTTTTTTTTTTTTTTTTTTTTTTTTTTTTGTGGCATTCCTATAATTTTTTGGTTGAGATCTAGACATGTTGTGTCAGGTAATAGGAAGTAAGATACATAGACCTTTAGAGTGATGATTTATGTTGATCTGGCAAGGAATTGGGATATGTTTAACATTTGCTATAGCTATAAGTGCCAGAGGCTTCAAATTCCTGTAGTGTCCCTGTTTTTGTCTCCTCTACTGACTTGGGGTTCCCTAAGTACTCCTCCTCAGAGAGAGTTTATGCCTTGAAGATCTTTCAGCCCTGATCCAACATTATTATCTTGGAGTCTTATTAGTGTGGTGTTAGGACATGGGTGAGGGACAGTTTTCTATAATTTCCCACTTAAGTCCTCATCTTTTAGGGGCTCTATATCTTGTGGCTGTCGCCTTCTCAAGTTGCATAGCCTTCCCTTTCCCCTCATACCCCTCCCCTTTTTCTTGGCTGCAGAGTTTCCTATCAATTTCCTTGAGGCTCTGACTGCTGTTGACTGTTTCTCCCCTACGCCCAACTCCACAGTTGAGGCAGAAAGGCTAAAATGGGGTAAAATGGGGGAAACTGTCTTCACCTAGATAGGTAAAAGGGCTTTGTTATGAAGAAGGCTCTGGCATATTTTATGATTACTCTTCCCTTTCCCCTACCAGAGACATGAGGAGTGGTCCTCCTCAGTTCTTCCCTGCAAGAATCTCTAGGGTTCCTGGAGGTAAAGCTCATGAAAGTACGACCCCCAGAAGACTGAAACCCGAAGTTCCTCCCTCTCACACTAGCCCTCACTCAGCTTAAAGCAATTAATCAGAATTGTCACTTAACTGATCCTACAATTTATAGCACTGGTGCATTTTGCTCCCGGTGAGCACATCTGGCTGTGATTCTTTGGATACACCGGACTCTCCAGATTCCGGGGGTGGGGGGTAGTTTGCCCTGCAACCTCAGTTCTCTGGTAGGTCCAAGAAAATTGTGGATTTTCACTTTATTCGATTTCTTCTTACTATAAGGATAGGGGTGAAAATTCCCAAGCACATTATATGTTGGGGCTGAAACCAATCTCTCCACACATATTTTACAGAATTCTCTCTATCCCTACTCAGAGTCCATGAGTCCTGGCAATCTGTTTTGCCAGCAACTACACCTCTCCTGGTCTTCTCTGGGTTATAAACTCTTGTTGCTGTCAATTTCCCCTCATTGTTTCCTGCTCAGCGGCAAGTGTTATATAACCATGGGACCGAGTGGAGCCAGTGCTCCCTGAGACTGTGTACTGCATCTCAGTGGGTAAAGGAGGCAGACCGTGAAGGCTGGTATAGTTAGTTTGCTGGTAAAGTTAAGGATGCTCCTCTGAAATCTGATGAGAAGTACAACCCCTGTTTCCCCATATCATGAAGAAGAGAGAAATGCGGTGTAACGGATGATCCACAGACTCTTAGGCATATGCCCTCGTGTCATTACACTTGTCAGTCAAGTGAACTGCGTGATGGTGTTGTGACAGGCTTGACAAAGAAGGAATTCACATAGAGTTGAGGTGAGTAATACTTATGTAACTTAAAAAACAATGATCTTGCCATCGGCCTTCTTAGTTGTATCTGCTCCCCTTTATCTTCCTATATAGTACTTTCACAGCACTTTTGTTTTTCCTTAACCATAGACAGGGTCATCCTATGCAGATGTGGATTCCCCTTTGTCTTACAACATTTGAAATTACAGATCAGAGATTGTTCACTTTAAACCTGATTGAGAAGGAGATGTGTATAAGCTTTACATTCCTCTTAGATACAGACATGGACGATGAAGGAGAAACCTATCGATCTGGGTGGTATTTTTGGTGCCAAGGTGGCTGGAGCACCCAGATCAATCTGAATAATTTTGTTCATGGATGGGTACTATGTATTACAAGATGCTGAGAGGGAGAAATAAATAATTGGCTCCCTGATGGCCCTTCCAAGGGCAAATACTTCCAAACTGAGGGCAAAGGAAATTCTTCCACCTTTTCAGATAATGCCTCCTCCCCACGCCCTCTAGTATGGAACATGGTCTGTTATGATGATCAGTTGGTTGGTAAACTAGGAGGGGAGGGTGAAAAATATTGTGACATGAAGGAGATTTAAGGAGTATTCACCTTTGGGGAAGTTTTCTCCTTTAAGATGGGTTTCAGTTATTTCACAGTACTTTCCATGATGGTGAAGGCTATCAGGCCCTTAAGTTTTCTAAAACATTTTGAATCATCTGGTCTCTGCCTTTCCCAGGCTTCATAGAGACTCCAGAGAAGATTTTAAGAAGGTAAGGACAGCAGATGAAAATGAAAGAGATTGGGGAGGAAGTCAGGGAAGGGAGAACATGAACATAAATGAGAAGTTAGGAGAGGCCCTGAGAATGGATGGGGATGAGTGGAGAAGGCTTGAGAGAGGGCTGGGTGACAACAATAAGGGACAATTCCTGTGGTTGGAAGGGGACAGGAAGTGAGAAAATGGAAGAGGTGGTGGGGATTCGAAGTGATGAGGTTCTTTGAAAAATTAAAAATAGAACTACCCTACAACCCAGCAATTGCACTACTAAGTATTTATTTATTTATTAAAAAAATTTTTTTGATGCTTATTTATTTTTGAGAGAGATAGAGACAGAATGCGAGTGGGTTGGGGCAGAGAGAGAGAGGGAGGCACAGAATCTGAAGCAGGCTGCAGGCTCTGAGCTTTCAGCATAGAGCCTGACGCAGGGCTTGAACTCACGAGCTGTGAGATCACAACCTGAGCTGAAGTTGGATGCTCAACCGACTGAGCCACCCAGGCGCCCTAGTCAGTAATTATTTAAAGGATACATGAGTGCTGATTCGAAGGGGCATATGCACCCCAACATTTATAGCAGCACTATCAACAATAGCCAAATTATGGAAAGAGCCCAAATGTCCATCAACTAATGAATAGAGAAAATGTGGTACACACACACACACACACACACACACACACACACACAGGAATATTACTTGGCGATGAAAAAGAATAAAACCTTGCCATTTGTAACATGGATGTGTATTATGCTAACTAGAGTGTAGCATACTAAGTGAAGTCAGTCAGAGACAGACAAATATCAAATGATTTTACTCATATGTGAAATTTAAGAAACAAAACAGATGAACATAGGGAAAGGGCAGAAAAAATAATATAAAAACAGAGAGGAAGGCAAACCATAAGACTCTTAAATACAGAGCACAAACTGAGGGTGGCTGGAGGGGTGTTGGGTGGGGGGATGAACCAAATGGGTGATGGGCAATAAGGAGGGTACTTGTTGGGATGAGCACTGGGTGTTATACATAAGTGATGAATCACTAAATTCTATTCCTGAAATCATTATTAACACCATATGTGAACTAACTTGGATTCAAATTAAAAAAAAAGAACATGAAGAAAAAAAGAAAGTGATCAGTGAAATCACAAGGCTGAGAGATGTAAAAGCATTAGGAAAGGACGAAGGAGGGCAGAATAAGTGATGTGCAATAGCACACGCATGCGCACACACACACACGCACACACGCATTGCTACTAAAGCAGGGCTGGGCCCACCACAGTTGCTGACTGCACGGTGTGCATAGAACTGTTTGCAATAATTTCGGAATCATACCTTGTTTTGTTTAAGGGCACCTTTCTCTTTCATATGAGGGCAGTCCTTCCCCGTCACCACCGCTTTGATATCTGCCACCGGCACTGCAATTCATAAGAGAAAATGAAAGTAACTACACCATGTGAAAGCTGAGATGTCAATAAAGAGTCAGGAGTGAGCACTGAGTCGGCGGGCGCAGTTGTCATTCTGAGAAACTACCGCAGAAAGAGGAAATAAAAAAAGAGGCAAAAAGAGAAAGAGGAGTCAGGCAGGGTCCCAGGGACAGAAAGGAAAATAGTCTGCTAAAAAGCATCCCTGGGGAGAAAAGTCTATGTTCACGACCAGAATTTGTGAAACAAATGCCCATTTGTGAAACAAATTCCTAAGAAAAGCTATCATAGTCATGTAAAAGTGATGGTACTAGAATCAGTAGTAATAATAATGATAATAATACCAGTGGTGCTAATCCTGATATTAGGCAAGACCCCTTTTGCTAGGAACAATGCCAAGTGCTTTGCTTCTGAGAAGCTATTAGCTTCTGAGTTTTGGATAATGAGGAGAAGCAACCTTACCACAAAAAATTGATCTGAATCTGAAGAGTCACTCTCCAAATCCTCACTCTCTACCACCTTGTTAATTCTCACAACTCTGGGAGACAGATTTTTGTAATCTCTGTTTTACAGACAACGAAAGTAAACTCAATTAAATAAAGGGAACATTCCTTTTTGATAGGGAGATGGTAGCCAGTATTTATCTTGGAGAATAATGCAGTTAGATAAAATGATGTTATCTCATGTCTTACTCAGGACTTGGAGGAAGATAAAAGACGGGTTTGTGCGTTTCAAACTTTTGTCAAGATCACCTGAGAGAGGGAAGGCAGTGGGATGGTTTGGAACCATAGCTTAAAAAACTGTAAAGTCACCTGTCCCTCTCCAATCCCTGATCTTGTAGTCCCACAAGGGACTGTGAATCTAGAGGCCCACTTAGGATCTGCAGAAACTTCAAGTAACCAATGCCTTAGACTCCCTTAATGAAGAAGATGATGAGAGATTTCATAATTAAAATTCCCCTGCTTTTATTGGGGAATTGGGTTGTGGGGGAGAGATTTAGACGAAGACGAAATTATGAAATATATAGAATATCAAAATGATACAACAGGAAGGCCTTTTAAAAAGCTAACATTTTTCAGGTACCCTAAAATTCCTAAGACTTTGTTCAAATCTGTCGATATCCCCGAGAGCTTTCTTTAGCCCCAGAGAAAAGTGGGGTTTTGATCAACTCTTCCAGGAATCTCTGCATATACTCCCTGCTATCTGTCCCACCATGTCTGTTCCTTCATCCCGCAGTCCTAATTCTAGATCCCTTTGGCAGAAATTACTTGTGCTGAGTGGTATCTGGCTTTCCTCCCTTTCTGGACATATATATGGAAGATTACACTTCCCAGCAACCTTTACAGTTAGGTGGGGCCACATGATTATGTCTGGCCAGTGAAATGTGAGAGGCAACGGCATGCCAGTCTCTTCTAGACAGAGGCAGTAAAAAGTCACTGTCCACCAGAATCTCTTCAGAAACTGAACAAGCCATATATTCCATCCAGATGGCACAGCTGTGGGAGGGCAGAGCAGTCACTGGCCTGTGTCCCTGAGTGACTATGTGGGGCAGCACTTTCACACCCCATGTCAGTCACGTAACATGAATGAGAATATACTCTTAGCGTCATAAGCCACTGTGATCTGGAGGGTCACTTGTTCCCGCAGCATAAGTCAGCAATGCAGCCTATCTTCACTGGCAGAATCCTTTACCTGGGATGTCTTTCCTGTCTCTGTTTGGCCCCTTTGAATTGGCATCTTCCTAAAGACAGTCTCTATAATTCCCGGACCTACTTTTGACCACAACCACTGACTTCAGTTCTTCTGAGATCCATTTTTTATAACCAGTGATCAGCCCTGTTCCCCTCAGTGGTCAATTGGGTTGCCTAATCACTACCCCAGGAGTGGACATTTGGGCCCTCTGGGAAGTTGGGTCAACTCCGTGTTTACTTTTCAATTGAAAACCCGACACTGAAGTGAATTTGTGAAAGAGTTAACATCCTAAGTCAAAGCCTTCTCAAGCTTCAGATGGAGTTTGAGTCACAGTTACTGTGCAGAGAGTCTTTTGTTGTATCATATATAACATGGTCAACGAACTAGAAAGAGTTTCTACAATCTATAAATACTAAGTTACCCTTTGGCTTTGAAAAGCCATCATATGGAACGGGACAAGAGTAACACAAAGGTCTACAGTGGGAGTAGTCTTCAGAATCTCTAATGAGGAGGCTTCGGGGAAGAAAAGGCACTTTTCTACTGTGCTTGTGGCAGTACATATTCTGTTTTTTATATGCATTGTCCCCTGTCAAGGAGACAAGCTGCTATATTACTCACAGGATTATGGCTAAAAGGAAACACAAAATTCTAAAAATACAGCATGGCTTTTAAAGGTTGCTCTTTGCATAGTTTGTCTCTAGATGCATTGGAAGATTAGGCATCAGAAGGCTAGAATGCCGTCCTTTCTATTCCCATGAGCAGAATCAGACTCACGTCTCTTGAATCTACACTCTGAGGAGGCAGGAACGGGCTCCTGATTACTTCAAAGTCAGGCTAGTGTTTCCATTAGGCATTTTTATGTGGGAGCAGCATAAAGAAAGGGTGCCCAGAGATATGGGAATCAAAAGGGTCCCTCTGGCACCCAACAGTCCACTCTAAATCTTTGGAGGTATGGCCTCATTTCTTTCTGCCCTTTTTTCTCAGTTTGAGCTGGACTGAGATCATCTCATTCAATACGACCATTTTACAAATGGGAAGACTGAGGCCTCAAGAGAGGAAATAAATTATACAATGTCACATAGTTAGTGGAGGACAGAGTCAGGACTGTTTTTTCTTCTACCCTACCCTCCCTTGCTTGGTCATGACTACTCCCTACGTTTGGAAGCTGTCAGAATCCTCAAATCATGCTGAACAGAGCCCCAGATGTGGTTATCACTTCAGACTCTCTAGGAAACTCTTTAACTGCTGATATCTGTGGAAGGATCTGTAATTGTGATTCAAAACAAAAATACAATTGAAAAGGCACACATGGCCACCAACATAGTTTTAACTTTCACCACTGAGAGCCACATTGAGGCAGAAACCACCCCAGGAAGTAGCTAGTAAGCCAAGAGCCCTTGCTGCAGACACAGCTCCATAGACGCTCTGGTGAGTGGTGACGCTCAGAGGAGGGACAGGCTGATCCTATCCCTGTTCAGTTCAATGAAGAATCTGATCTCTATCCTGGCAGCACAGAGTGGTGGGAAGGGCTGTGCCCTTGGTATCAGACTGGCTTTGAATTCTAGATCCACCTACTGGTTGTACCACTTTGGGCTTAAGTTCTTGGAGCCTAACCTTCCTCATCTGCAATGTGGAAACTATGGCATCAGCTACTCATATGGTTGCTCCAAGAATGAAGTCCTATTGCAGGAGCCAGGATCATTGTTGGCTTCTAATCGAGGCAGCACAGGTAGTGGGGAAAAGCCTGGGCCATGGAATTGGATGGCTGCAATCAGATCTCTGTTCTGTTTCCCGGCCACGTTTTCTGTACCTCCATTTCCTTAACTGTAAAACAAGAGCAATCATGTCTACCTCTCCAGGTTGGTGAGAGGGTAATTTATGTAGAGCTCTTAGCATAGTGCCTGGCATATAGTAAGCACTCAATAAATGTTGTCCGCGATTATTCTCATTACCAATAATCAAAGTTAAATTGTCTCTATAGATCAAGGGACCTGAAGTATTCACTGTGCTTCAGTGACCCAAATTGCCCACTCTGTTTTGCTGTCTCAGCTGCCCCTCCCACCCTCTGTAATAGGCTTAATCGCCTTGTGCAAGGGAGTGAGCCTTCTTTCTGGCCCCTTGGATGTGGGGGTGAGAAGCTCTGGCCTAGATTCTTTCAAAGGGAGGCACTGAGGGGCCTGGGGCACAGCTGGAAAGCAATGGAGTCTAGTGTCTGGTGAGGGTGATGCAAGCCTGTAAACTTAGCGGGAGAGATGTAGGGCCGTATCTCCTGCCAAACAAAAGTAATATGAGAAGAGACTTCCTAAACCTTCAGGGATGAAGAGAGCCAAGGAGAGGCCCTCAATCTTTACTCGCACTCTCTATAGCAAGAAGATTCAATTACACTATTTGGTTCATCAATATCTCAATATTCAGCACTGATTAACTCAAGGGGCGGAAGACAATTTCCCCCTTGGTCTCAAGAGAGGGCAATCGTACATGACAAGAGCAAGGCACTTGAAATTAATTAAAGGAACATTTCATTTTTCTAGTGGAATGAGGTTTATGACTTTTTTTTTT